TTTCAGATCAATGGAAAAGACTTGAGAATTCATACAAAAAAATCTCACTTTCCTGGTTGATTGATTTTTGACAATGGCACCAAAACAATTTAATGGAGAAAGATAGTCTTTTCAATAAACGGTGCTGGGACAACTGGGTATCTACATGCAAAAGAATGAATGACTGGGACCCCCTCACTCACACCACATACAAAAAATTCAGAATGGACCAAAGACCTAAACGTAAGAGCCAAAACTATTAAATTCTTAGAAGGAAACATAGGTTTGACTCTGTTTTTGCAAATGTTTCTTTTTTAATGTTTTATTTATTTCTGAAAGAGAGAGAGAGAGAGAGAGACAGCATGAGCAGGGGAGGGTCAGTGAGAGAGGGAGACACAGAATTCAAAGCAGCTCCAGGCTCTGAGCTAGCTGCCTGCACAGAGCCTGATGCAGGGCTCGAACCCATGAACTGTGAGATCATGACCTGAGCCGAAGTCAGAGGCTTAACTGATTGAACCACCCAGGCGCCCCTAAAAATGTTTCTTAATGTTTATTTAGTTTTGAGAGAGAGAGAGATGGGGGAGGGGCAGAGAGAGAAGGGAACAGAGGATCTGAAGCAGGCTCTACACTGACAGCCCAATTCAGGGCTCAGACTCACGAACCATGAGATCATGACCAGAGCCAAAGCTGTATGCTTAACCAACTCCAGGTGCTCCTAGGTTTGAATCTTTGTGACCTTGATGCGGCAATGGCTTCTTAGTACTAAAGTGACAGGTGACAAAAGACAAGACATTTAGATTTTATCAAACTTAGTAACTTTTGTGATTTAAAGGACACCACAAAGAAAGTGAAAAGACAACCCATAGAATAAGGGAAAAGTTTTGCAAAGCCCATATCTCATAAGGGACTTGCATCTAGAATATATAAATAACTCTTAATGATAATCACAATAATAAATTATTCTAATAATTTAATAATTCTAATAATTTATAAATAATAATTCTAAAAGACCAATAACCTAATTTTAAAAATGGGCAAAGGATATGAATAGACATTTCTTCCAAAAGATATATGATGGCAGTAAGCAAATAAAAGGATGTTCAATATCAATAGCCATCAAGGAAATGTAAATCAGAAGCATAACAAGATACTACTTCACACCTACTAGGATGACTATAATAAAAAAGATAGATAAGAAACAAGTATAGGCTAGAATGTAGAAAAATTAGAACCCTCATGCATTGCTGGTGGGAATTCAAATAGTGCAGCCACATGGGGCACCTGGGTGGCTCAGTCAGTTAATCATCTGACTTGGGCTCAGGTCATGATCTCATGGTTCCTGGGTTCGAGCCTCATGTCGGGCTCTGTGCTGACAGCTCAGAACCTGGAGACTGCTTCAGATTCTGTGTCTCCCTCTCTCTCTGTTCTTCTCCAACTCATGCTCTCTCTGCCTCTCAAAAAATGAATAAATGTTAAAAAAATTTTTTTTAATAAAAAAAATAGTGCAGCCGCTTTGGAAACTAGTCTGCTGATTCTTCAAAAAGTTAAACATAGAGTTACCATATGACCCCATGTCGTCCTTGTCCCAGCAGGATTCCGGGACCTTTACACACGAATATCAGGGACATTTAAACATGAAAGGGATTGTGTGGGCAAAAGGGTAGCTCCTCAGAGGCCAGAGGCCCTCCAATCCCACTCACACTCTGTTCCAGGCTCACAGTCCCCTGAATGAGTGTTTAGAGGTTTATTTCTCTCCCAGGAACACTGATGACAAGATCCATTGGAACTATAACTGGGCTAGAAATAGAAGCACATAGCAGCGGCCCAGACAAGCACTTGTGGGGTGTCTGGAGGGAAGAAGCAACTACCAGGAAGTGAGTAGGAGGCCCCAGGACAAAGGCGGCTGTGGAGCAGAGTGTGCACTCTTCAACACTGGCCTGAGGCCAGCAGCCTGTGAGACAGGCAGCCTACAACTTGGGCCTGACTTCCCCGCATTGGTCCTTAGCTTCCTCCTTGGATGCCAGATGGTCAGTCTGGAAGAGCTTTGAGGTCTTCGTCAGTACAGAGGAAGTGGTGAGGAAGATCCCATGCATACAGCTGTTGTGATGCGCCATAGGCCCCGAGGCCCCAGTCACAGACCCATTCTCCCACCCCCTTCTTGCTTCACTGACCCTGTTGTGGGTTGAATTGTGTCCCCTAAAAAGATATGTTGAAGTGTTAACCTACCATTACCCGGAAGATAGTGTCCTTGCAGATGTAATCAAGTTAGGATGAAGTTCTAAGGATGGACCCCCATCCAACAGGACTAGTGTCCTTATAAGAGGAGACGCCATGTGAAGAGGGAGGTGCACAGGTGAGGAACACCTTGTGACAGAGGCAGAGACTAAACCGTTGCAGCTGCAACCCAAGGAACACCCAGGGGCACCAGAAGGTGGCAGAGGCAAAGAAAGATCCTTCTCCAGAGACTTCAGAGGAAGCATGGCCCTGCCATTGCACACTTCTAGCTTCCAGAACTGTGAATAGATTTCTGTTTAATAAATTTCTGTTGTTTTGGGGCACCTGGGTGGCTCAGTCTCTTGATTTCAGCTCAGTTAAGCATCCGACTCTTGATTTCAGCTCAGTTCTTGATCTCACAGTTTGTGAGACTGAGCCCTACATTAGGCTCCTCGCTGACAGCGTGGAGCCTGCTTAGGATTCTCTCTCTCTAGGATTCTCTCTCTCCTTCTCTCTGTCCCTCCCCTGTTCAGACCCTCTCTCTCTCTCTCTCTCTCTCTCAATAAATTAAAAAAAAAAAATAGGGGCACCTGGGTGGCTTAGTCGGTTAAGCATCCGACTTTTGCTTAGGTCATGATCTCGCGGTTCATGGGTTCGAGCCCCACGTCGGGCTCTGTGCTGACTGCCAGCTCAGAGCTTGGAGCCTATTTCAGAGTCTGTATCTCCCTCTCTCTCTGACCCTCCCCTGCTCACGCTGTCTCTCTCTCTCTCCTAGAAATAAATAAAACATTAAAAAAAATAAAGTAATCTTAAACTGAAAGGAATAACAAATTTATAAAAAAAATAATTAAAAACAAATTTTCTGTTGTTCTAAGCTACCACATTTAGAGTGCTTCCATACAGCAGCCCTAGGAAACTACTACAGAACCTCACATGCTCTGGTGCTCTAGCCACACCAACCATCTCTCTGTTCCTCCATGGACCAGAGTCTCACCTACCCCAGGGCTTTGGCACAAGCTGCTCTATCAGAATGCTCTCCATTGGCGGGGCGCCTGGGTGGCTTAGTCGGTTAAGCGTCCGACTTTCGCTTAGGTCATGATCTCGCGGTTCGTGGGTTCGAGCCCCGCGTCGGGCTCTGTGCTGACTGCCAGCTCAGAGCCTGGAGCCTGTTTCAGTCTGTGACTCCCTCTCTCTCTGACCCACCCCTGCTCACGCTCTCTCTCTCTCTCCTAGAAATAAATAAAACATAAAAAAAAAAAAAAAAGAATGCTCTCCACTGGCACTCCTCTCTACCACTCTTCTCTTGCTCCTTTCAAACTCAGTTGAAATGGCATTTCTTCTGGAAAGTCTAGACTTGGGTATCCCAGGTTCCCTTCAGAACAGCAAAAGAAGTGCACCTCATTGTAGCTGTGGTTAATCATTGGTGCGATTGCGTAAGGCCCACTGCCCTGCCCTGCTGTGCGTGTCCTGACAACAGGGCTCCAGGCCTGACATATTCGCCAGCAATCCTGTCCCGTAGGCCCTGAGGCAATGCTGGGATTTTTTTTCTTTTTAAAGCATACTCCAACCATGAAGCAACCAATACGTGTTCAACTTTGGGAAAAGAAACCCAGGTAGAGGTAATGAGCAAACGGAGAAATACACTAAAAATCACCTACATTCCTACTGCCTAGAGTAACCATTATTAGCATTTTGACATATGTGCTTCCACACATTTTTTCATGCAAAGTAAATTTCATAAATTTCCTTGACAAAGAGTTCCTGAAAGTGGATTGCTAGGTCCATAGTCACACGTTTTTTAAGGCTTCCGGTACAGAGTGCCAACCTGGCCTATAAAACAGAGGAACTTTTCCCAGCAGAAGGGGTGGGATGAAGAACAAGTGCAGAGGGAGTGATGACTGGTGTGGAGGCATGGAGCTGGCAGCAGGTGCGCCCCCTGGGGGAGGTGGTCTTGGGCAGCCTGAGGGTACAGCTGGCTCTTGGGGCAGGTGGGAACCTGTGTTCTGGGAGGGCTGTGCTCAGGCCTTCTTCTGGGCACCCTTCTTTTTCTTTGGTTTTGAAGCCGTTGAGTCCTTGCTTGCCTCACGGGGCCCCTTTGTGAGCCAATTGTAGGGAAGAGAAGGTATAGGGAATTCCCCCATTTGTAGAAAGTGGCTTTCAGAAACAAGAGTTTTTAGGAAGCTTCCTTGTTCCTGGGAAGCCCGTGTCATGTAAGAATGTGGTGTGTCATCTTGTTTCTGGCTGCAATGTGGGGAAGGGCCCAGGCACAGACTTTTTGACCTGGGTAGGAATGCATTGCTGCCGCTCCATGGGTGTCCCCCAGTCCCACTCGTTAGGTCTGCCCCATCCTCAAATCAAATCAGCTTATCAGTTTGCCAGAGAGCGCCCTGAGACACTCCCTGCCACCCCAGGGGAAACCATAAGCATGAAACTTGGTCCTGATCAATCTTCTATCCCTTCCCATGAAATCAAGGTGCAGAGCAAGCAATTCACCACACTGAGCCTCAGATTACTCATCTGTAAAATGGGGAATAGTATTATACCTACCCTGACAGGGTGGCTCAGTGGATTCAGTAACATAATATATGTAACACTTAGCATAATATCTGGAGAGTGGTGAACACTATTATGAGGATGATGTTGATGAGGTTTCACATGACTGCATTTTGGGCTGGAAAGGGTTCTCTTTGAGAAGTCACAGGCGTGGCTACTTCCTGTGGAGAGCCAAAACCCCACTCCCCCCGGGCTTTCTTCTGCCATAAAGCTCTTTACTCGAAAGGCTGCTGTTACAGGAAATAACTGTTCATTCTCCCCGCCTCCTTCCTGATATCACAGTCTTCAGAAAAAGAGGATCTGCATCTGAAAATCAGAATAAAAACAGGCAGGGTGTAATGTGTCTGGGAGTGTCTGTCTGGTCGTGTGGAGTCCTGCCTGGGTGTTGGTAGAGGGTATTTGACCATGAGAGCTTGAGGTGATCAGGGTTGTGGCCGTGGGGGACTGTGAGGGGGATTCTGCACACCTTCGGTTCAGGGGTAGCAAAGGGCAATGGAATGGGGGCCTTTTCAAGCTTGCCTCCCCATGCCAAGACTGGGGCATGGGTTATTGGGGCCCTCCCTCCCTCCCTGGGGAGCTGGAAATACCCTCCTCCCCTAAGCTGTAATCTGGCAAGATGCCAGGACTGAGTGGCTGTGGAAAAAGTTATGACTGTTTTTTAATGTTTCGTTTTCAGGCTGTACCCAGAGAGGCTGCCTTTGTCGCTGGGTGCCATTACACAGGGCCTTCTTTCCCTGTCAGCTTCCAGAAACAACCCACGGTTTCGGAGATAGAAGGTAGGTAGGATCAGGAGCAGTGGAGCAAAGGCTCCAAGGCTGAGGCCCCCAGACACCCAGAGCTGGGTGACAGCCTTCTGGCTGCCCTGCCAGCAGCTCTTGTACTGCGGTGTCACCTTTGCTGACTAAGGTCTTCCCTGGGGTGGATTTTGGAAAGAGGGAAGTCCAGGTCCTCAACAGTCCCTAGGTGGGTGGCACCTCACAGGACACTTTCAGGTCCGGGTCTGGGACGGTCGCTGCTTTCTTTCTTCACTACACCTGTGATGTCACCGGAGTTGGGTATGGGGGGTGTGTGTGTGTGCGTGCGCGTGTGGGCACATGCACTTGTCACTCTGCTCTGTTTTCAACAAGTCTCTCCTGGACTGGAGTGCTGGGATGTTGTATGTCCAGCCTGTTCCCTAGAGGGAGCTCAAAGAGCAGCCTCTGGCTCTGGCTGGGCATCAGGGAGGAAGCGAGCTGTCCGGAAGCAGTAGGGGAGTGAGAGGGTAACGACAGTGGGTTTCTTGGTGCCCACAGATGCCCCGCCCTAGCCTGCACCCATCCATCCCGCGGCCCAGGGGCATGAGAGCCCAGAAAGCGGCTTTGGTCCTGTTGGCCGTCTGCCTGGTAGCCCTTTGGAGGCTGGGGGAGCCACCAGACCTCACCCTCCGGTGGCTGGTGCTCCATGTGGCCTCCCTGCAGCTGGGACTGCTGTTCACTGGGGTCTGCCGTCTGACTGAGGAGCTGTGTCACCTCCACTCCAGGTGATTCTATTACCTGTAGCAACTGGGCACCCAACGTCACTCCATTGACCCCTGGCCCTGCCCCTCCTTGAATCTCTCTGGTTGAGTTGGGCTGGAGCCTGGGGCTTGACTGTCACCTGCAGGTACCAGGGCAGCTACTGGAGGGCGATGTGGGCTTGCCTGGGCTGCCCCGTTCGCACTGGGGCTCTGCTGCTGCTGTCCTGTTATTTCTACGGCACCCTCCCCAACACAGCTGACCTGCCCTTTGCTTGGATGCTTGCCCTCCTGGGTCTCTCCCAGGCACTGAACATCCTCCTGGACCTCCAGGTAAGACACAGAGGGAGGTGGAGGGTGTAGCCAGGGAAGGCTGCAGCTAGTATGACCTACTCTGAGCTCAGCACTGGGAGTGGGACTAGTTTGGAGGTTGCTCCTTAGCGTAGAGCCCATGATGTCCTGCAACTGTGGGTCCAGCAATGGCAGAGAAGGGAGCAAGTTGGCAGCCGGTTGGGAAATCTTGGGGAGGAGGGCTCCAGTTATCCTTCATGGAAGCCCCCTCACCAGTAGTCTTGCTGTCTACAGGGCCTAGCCCCAGCTGAGGTCTCTGCAGTCTGTGAAAAAAGGAATTTCAACGTGGCCCATGGGCTGGCATGGTCATATTACATTGGGTACCTGAGGCTGATCCTGCCAGGTGAGCCATTCTCTATGCCCCTATCTCCAGGTCTCCAAGACATACAATAAGACATAAAACCTCTTGCGTTTCTAGAACTTGCTGTATTTTTCAAACACTTTTTATTCGTAGCAAATCATTTAATTCCCAGAGAAATTCTGTAGGCATGGAGGATGTTATGATGCCCGGTTTGCAGGGACAAGTATGACACTTAGAGACACTAGGTGACTTCTCCCACGTTAACCATGAATTCTTCCAATGAATATTTACTGCATGCCCTTTGTGTGCATTTTGTCTTTTAATTCATACCCTGTGGCCAAGGAATAACCATCATCCCTATTCTAGAGATAAAAAAAAAAATTGTGGTTCTATAAGGTGAAGAGACTTCTCCAAAGTCACATGGCTTAGTGAGAGAACAAGACAAGATTTGAACTCAGGTCTGTCCAGAGCCTATGAGCCCATATGTCATGTCTCATTTCTTTTGACTTCCTGGCCGAGGCCGTGATTCTCCCGTATCCCACTGCTCTCTGCCCTTGTCACCAGGGCTTCTGGTAGGAAACATGTCTGGAGCTAGAGGCCAGACTAAGTGCACCTGAGAATGCTGGGAATGTCACCTCCCAGAGCTCTTCCTACCTCTCAGAGCCCTAAAAGCTGTGGGGGGAAGGAGTGGGGCAGGCCCAGAAATCTGGACAAAGGACAAGTGAGGGGAAAGAGAGGTGGTGAGGGTGGAGGGAGAGGAGGAGAGGGTTCCTGAATGCTCTGCCCTTCCTGGTTCCTACACACTGTAAGTGGACCGGACCCTTGGTTCTCTTACACCCACATGTTGAGGGGACCAATGACTTGGTCTCTATCCTGGGTTGGGTGGGAGACAGGGTGGGTAGGAATGACTTCTCAGGCCTTTACAACCCAGGGCTTCCGGCCCGGATACGCACATGCAACCAGCTCCACAACACGCTACGGGGGACAGGGAGCCATCGGCTACACATTCTCTTCCCGTTGGACTGCGGAGTGCTTGATGACCTGAGTGTGGCTGACCCCAACATTCGCTTCCTGTATAAGCTGCCCCAACAAAGTGCTGACCGTGCTGGCATCAAGGACCGGGTTTACACCAACAGTGTCTATGAGCTTCTGGAAAACGGGCAACAGGTGAGCATGCAGTGAGGTGGGTGCCGCTAAAGAGGAGTCGGGCCCAGAGCACCAGAATTCTGACCCCTGGCCAAGCACTGATAAAAATTCACTGCCCTTCTCTGAGCCTTAATTTCTCCAACTGGTTCCAGGGCTGGGCTCCCTCTGAGTGGGAGGATCTGTGGGGGATAAATTTAGCAAAGTCCTGGTCCTGATTTTAGGAGCAAAGGTCCCCAGACAGCATAGATCCCATCTGGGCTGCCACCTTGCAGCACTCCATCTCTACGGGCTGGGAGAGGGGGTGGCCAGCAATGGCACTAGGGTCCAGAGTCTGTCTGTCTGGGCCCTGATGACTCTTGTCTTCCTCTCACCTCTTCCAGGCAGGCATCTGTGTACTGGAGTATGCCACCCCCTTGCAGACCCTGTTTGCCATGTCACAGGATGGCCGAGCTGGCTTTAGCCGGGAGGATCGGCTTGAGCAGGCCAAACTCTTCTGCCGAACACTTGAAGACATCCTGGCAGATGCCCCCGAGTGTCAGAACAACTGCCGCCTCATTGTCTACCAGGGTGAGGTGTTGATAGGCTACAGGGCCGGAAGAGGCAGGTGTCCTGTGGGGTTAGAAGGAGATACGGCAGCACCAGGCCTTGGGCCTTCTCAAGTGGCCAAGGCATTCAAGCCCTGCTCCTTCCCTGGGATAGGTCCTACCTCTCCACCTAGGGCGCTCAACTGCTTTCTGAGGTGTTCGGCTATGGGCCCTGGGTGGAGGGTAAAGAGATGGGTTCTAGGGGCCCCTCACTTCATCTAGAGATACCAGAAAAATGCAGAAGAGCCCCAGGTCAGGAGCCAAGAGATTGAGGCAGCAGCCTCAGCTCTGCCATTGCCTCACTGTGTGATTTTGGCAGATCTTTGCCCCTCTCTAGCATCATCTTCAAAACTGAGAAGGTGGAATTAATTGTGTTATCTCTAAAACCACTTCTTGCTCTAGAATTCCATGAAACTCTAGCCCCAGAGGCTAGGGGAGGGGAGAAGGTGCACGGATGTGCGGGAGAGTGAGGGTTGGAGGATCTGTCCAGCACATCCTCAGGGTATGTTAAAGTGAGAACATATGATGTCCTCACCGCGCCTTCTCCATCTCTGTTCCAGAACCCACAGAGGGAAGCAGCTTCTCCCTGTCACAGGAGGTTCTCCGGCACCTGCGGCAGGAGGAAAGGGAGGTCACTATGGGCAGCGTGGGGACCTCAATGGTACGCAATCCCTCCGTGCTGTCCCAAGAGCCCAATCTCCTCATCAGTGGCATGGAACAGCCTCTCCCGCTCCGCACGGATGTCTTCTGAAGCTCAAGGTTACCTGGCTTGAACTCCCAGTGCTCCCCAAGATTCTGGATTCCCAAGAGTCCAGGTTGAAGGGCTTTCTGCAGCAGCTGAATGCCCAGAAGAACCATTTCCTCCCACAAGGACCCTCTCAGAGACAGTCCCTGAACTCAACATCTCGAGATGAATCCTATGACCTTGGGCAAGTTGTTTTACCTCTCTGAACCTCAGTGTGTTCATCTATGAAATAGGATTATAATCATTGCCCTACCTACCTTACAGAGTTTTTGTGAGGACCATAACTGTCTAGAACTTTTCTGTAAACTCTAAATGCCAGGTAAACTTAAGGGGCACATCAAGTGTCTTCCATTGGATCTTCCAGACTGTCTCTCTACCCCTCTCTGCCTCCTCTGCCCTGGGATGGCACCACCAGGTTCCCTTGCTCTCTGGATTCTGGTCATGCTCAGTCCATGAAGAGCCTTAGTAGGAGAACAGAGGGAAGTGGGAGGGTGAGATTCGGGTAGTTACTCCCCCAGATCCCTCCCTGCAATATCAAGATCACTCTGGGTCCTCTGAATCTCTGACCTAAAGTCATGGCTCTGCTCATGCTCTCAGTAACCCTCTATATCCCCAGGTTCCATTACCTGCCCCTTCCCCATGCTGCTCAGGCCTAGCAGTGGTCCTGGTTGCCTGCTAATGTCCACTTGCGGCTTCCTTATATCCGTCCTTTCTAAACAGCTCTCCTTTTAAACACTCCTCAGATCATCTGTCTGAGCATGCCATCTTTCTCTGGCTGGACTCTGATACAAGCGATTGGCATTTATTAACTGAAATGTCCGAATCCACTTGCACAGGCATACTTCCTTATACCCCTCCTTATTCTAGGACAGGGTGGTGGGTATCATTTCACTGTGGGTGGAGCCCAGCACTCAGGCTGAGGGCATAGAAGGTAGCGCACCCCATGGCATCTGCCTGCCCTTTCAGGGACCCTGGGACTAGTGGGAGGAGGCTTGGGGAATACAGAGCGGCCTGAGCAGGCATGCAAATGCCATGAGGGGCACACAGCTGTATTCTGATCAAGGGCCTGCTCAAAGGAGCAGGGGGCACTGAATGAATGTCCCCGGATGATAGAGCCTGCAAAGGGATAAGGGGGGATGGGGAGAAGAGCGTTTGTGTGAGGAGATGCAATACACTCTGGGGGACCTTGGACAACACAGCCAAGCACCTGCTAGATCTTATGCCATCACTGTTAGAACTGAGCCATTGCAACAAAACGCTGTAGTAGCAAAATTGCTCCTATCTGGGAAGGCAGGCAGCCCATTTCTACCAGTTCCATCTGTTCTACCCAGGACTTGTTCTCTACCTCCCATCTCTGTTTGTTATTGTTGTTTTTAATTTTTTAAATTAATCTTTACACCCAGTGTGGGGCTTGAACTTGCAATCCTGGGATCAAGAATCAGATTCTGTACTGACTGAGGCAGCCAGGAGCCCCTCACTTCTGTTTTTATCACAAACACTCAGTATGAATTTCTGTGTACGTCGTCTCTGTGGAGAAAGGCTCCACAAAGAGACACACATTTGCCAGAAGGAACCAACAGCCCCCAAGGATGACAGAGCCAAGGGAGTAAAGGGGGACACAATCTCCTCTTCCTCATAGCTGTCCCAGCCATTCTGTCCCCAAGATGCAAGGATCCTCCAGCATTATATCAGTCTCTCCTGTACTAGAAACCAGGGCAGAAACAAGGGCCTTTCCAAAATGACCTTCCCTCACCCATTCAGCCCCCAACTTGGTGCTTAGGCTATAGAGTCTGACAGCACAGGATCAAATCCTGCCTTCACTACTTAGTACCTGTGTTCACCTGGGTATCTTGATATCCTCAGCTATAAAATGGGGATAACAGTGGCTCTTCCTCCCAAGGTGAGGAGGGAATAGTATAATATCCACAGGTCCACGGATGGGCTGGGTGCTCAGCATAGAGCTGGACTACAAGAAGGAGCAGCTATTAACATTATAGTTGCCTCTCACCAGTCCCAAAGGAGGCAAGCCAGATTACAATCTCCGCCTCTGTTCCTCTTTGTCCTCTGTTATTTCCTAGCTTTCTTGATTGTGCTAGGGTCTCACCAAGGGCAGTACCCAGTGTTGGTCTGTTGTCCTCAAGCATTCCCCAGAGGTCTTCCTTTATCTTACCAACCCTTACGCCCACCCCACCCCCTGAAAATCCTCTCCTCACTCCTTCCTTCCTTTAGACAAGCTCCACAAAACTCCTTTTCCTTTCCTGTTTTCCCACCCGCTGGAAGGTTCTGGATTTGGGAAACGTCCTGGGATAGGTTTCAGGCTGGTTCCAATAGGCCTATGCATACAGAACAGGGGAGATAAATGAGAATCCCCCGAATCCCCCCATCCTATCCAGGGAAGGCAAGACCAAGTCTTGCCCCAACACAGTGGAGGGCATTCAAAAGCAATGTGAGGAGCCAGAATTGGTGCCTGGGGCTTTGTAAGGGCCTTGGAAGTTGCTGACAAACTAGACATGAACAGCCAAAGGGATGTCTTTCAATTAGTGAAGGGCAGCAGATTTTCCTTCACAGAGAAGGCAGACCCCTGGGTTCTTGGCCTTCGCTCTCCTTGGCTAGCCCTCACGGGACCTGGGGTCTTTGAGGGCAGGACCTCTACAGGGACGCTCTGATATCCCTGCACAGGGGTGGAGTGGGTGGTGGACTCTTTCAAGCTGGACTCACATTAACAACAAAAGCAAAGGAGAGTAGGGATGAGAGGAAGGAGTGAAGACTTGGTCAGGGATCTGATGGTCCTTGAAAAGGAGGGAGTAGCTTTGTAAAGGTGGCCTTTGGCACTGGGAATGCTCACAGTAGCATCTTTCCAGGCAAAGCCCTCAAATTTCTTTTATTTCTCCTGTCCACATCAGGGCTTCCTCTATAAATATTCTGCAGGGAGAACAGCGCCAGCTGAGTCCATGTGTGCCTTCCGAAGCTCTGATGCCCAGGCCCCAATTTGCTTTTGCCCTAATTCTCTGTACTGCTGTTTGTTCTGAGCCAGCTCAGTCCAACTTTTCAAAGTCTTCATCCTACAGATATGTGACTTCATCAATGCTGAGCTTAGGCCCAGCCGGCACAGGGTAGGAGCCAGGGGCAGGAGGTTCCTGCTGGGCATCTTCATGACTGTCCCAGGGGTCCAGTACTCGCCAGTGGATGAGGTAGATGCCACCTTCTGGCTTTGGGGCTGGTGGCTCTGTGGGGAGAGTGGCGTGGCCCTGATGTAGTCGTGGCCCAAAGTGTACTGCCACCACAATACAGACTGCCAGCAGGACGAAGGCAGCAACGATAATGGTGAGCAGGGGCAGCCCATCTCCTCGAGGTGGTTCCCAGGCCCCACTCATCACCTCCGGGAGCTGCCTCTGGGGCTCCTGCCCTGCTGACTCGTTCACAGCTGGAGAAGGCCAGGGATGGCAGCCAGCCTGGTAGGGGAATGGCAGAGAGAGAGGGTGACATGGGCATGTACATATAGAAAAAGAGCAAGTTAGAGAGAGACAGACACCTGGAGGGAACTGAGAGAGAGAGACAGAGAGCCTTAGGGAGACAGAGAGGAATAGAGACAAAGAGAGAGAGAGAGTGAAAACATACAGAGAAAGAGAAACATACGGATAAACACACATGTAGCAAGAGAGAGAACAAAAGAAAAAAGACAGATATGGAGGGGGGCAGAATACAGAGAGAAGGAGAAAAACATAAAGAGAAGAGAAAGAAAAAGAGAGATAAAGAAAAGGATAGGAGTGAAATAACAGAGAGACAGAGACAGACAAAAAGAAAGAGATAGGGAGACAAAGTTGTTCAGAAAGGAATGGAGAGGGTTTTCATTACAGTCTGGCATATGCCAGCCTCTACCTCTTTTAGGATCCCAGCCAGAGGCTGGGGGTCATGTCTGTCTGTCTCCACTCTGCTAAGTGTTGAGTAAGGGTGGGATGGATTGCCGTGAAGGTAGCAAGCCTCCAAACTATAAACACCAGACCTGGCTGATTAGGTCACCACAGGCTCAAAGATCCTTTTCTCCCTAGCCCCCCATTCCCCAGCTGGACCATCAGGGGTAGACCCACTGAGGTGGAGCTTCACACCTAAACCTGAGTCATCAGCCTGGCCTTCCCCAAGCAAAGGCAGTTTAGGTCCAGGGAAGGCTATCCAGAACACTCTCCCTTTAGTTTCTCAGTACTGTCTACCGCCACCCCATCCCAAACACTGTCCCTTTGGATGTAGAAAGCCCAATACCTACTCCCATTTAAAAGTCTAAGTCTCTCTGGGGCCCTGGGCCCAAAGCTCTCAGGGCAGGAGTGGGGGTGGGGGAAGGGTGGGATGGGGGGAGGGGAAGGGAAGCTCCAGTTGGTGAAAGGCTTGGGGCCCCTGCAGGGAGTCAGACAGCCTAGCAGGAGGTGGGTGAGCCAAGAGTCTACCTGGTGCATTGTCCGCCTGGTGCAAAGCTCCTTGGGGACTGGCAGCCAGTAGGACAAAGAAGAGCCTGCCACCCCAGCCTGGTCCCTACCCGGAGCTGCCACGTCTGTGGGGTTTACCAGGCACACACCCTCTGCACACACACCCTCAACGTCTCTCCCGCGCTTTCACTTTCGTGAATATTAGGACTCCCTTGTTCCAGCAGTGAACTGTAATCAGACCTTGATCTTGGCACTTCCCTTCATGCCCCCTGCCAGCTTCAGGAGCCTGGGTCGGCCTGCCTACTCCTCCTCCACCAGATCCCAGACACCTTGCCAGCACCCCACCACTCCCCACCCTCCACCATGACATGCTGACTCCCCACCCCAATTGATTTCCTGAAGTCACTGTTTCTTTGATTTAAAAAAAAAAAATGCAGTATCTCAAACACACTGGAAATTGTAGACTATAATATACTAAATCTCTGCCCCAGCCACCAGATCTGTCCATCTCAATAGTCTGTTACATTCATTTCAAAAAAGTTAAAAAAAAATTTTTTTTAATGTTTATTTATTCTTGAGAGACAGACAGAGAACAAGTCGGGGAGGGGCAGAGAGAGAGAGAGAGAGATTCCAAAGTGGGCTCCAGGTTCTGAGCTGTCAGCACAGAGCCCAACGCAGGGCTCAAACCCATGAGCAGTGAGATCATGACCTGAGCTAAAGTTGGATGCTTAACTGACTGAACCACCGAGGCACCCCTTAAAATTTTTTTTAAAACTAAAATATTACAAAAAACTAGAAGCCCCACTCCTTGACCTCTCCTTTCCTTCTTATCCCATGGATAACCATATTGTTGAATGTGATGTTAATCACTCCTGTGCAAGGCATTTTTTCTCTTTGGGTTTTTTCTTCTTTGGTTTTTACAAATATGAATTCTATATGTCTCTTTGCATTTGTCTGAATGTAATTTCATTTGAGAATGTGTGTGCTTCCATGTGTTCAAGTCACAAAAAGTGCTCACCAGGGGCACCTGGCTGGCTCAGTTGGTAGAGCATGTGACTCTTGATCTCAGGGTTGTAAGTGGAAGCCCCACATTGGGTGTAGAGATTACTCAAAAATAAAATCTTAATTTTTTTAAAGTCTATTTATTTATTTTGAGAGAGCATGAGAAGGGGAAGGGCAGATAGAGAGATGGAGAGAGAGAGAATTCCAAGCAGGCTTCACACTGTCATTGGGGCTTGAACTCATGAACTGCAAGATCATGACCTGAGCCAAAACCAGTCATCTCTCATTCTGTTCCTTGATGTGCCTGTACCACCCTCCATTCCAGTCTGGAGACCAGGACACCCCTGGGAACTCTCCTCACCCAGTGGCTTGATCTCAGGAGGCAAGATGTAGCCTCTTGATTCCTTGACTCTCAGCCAAGCTGTTCCACACTCTGACATTCAGGGACCCCACTCAGATCTCCAGGCTCACCTAAGCCCAGGTCACTGGGCTGTGGACCTTATCTGCCAATTGAGTGAGATCAGTGTCTGGCTGGCCTTGAAGCCAGCTAGGAGGCTGACTCCTCCCAATGCCATCCAAGGCTCTGGATGTCCCACACTAGTCCACTTAGACCTCAGCCAGAGACAAAGTGGATTCTGGCACAGTCCAGTGCTTCAGCCACTGCTCTTTGCTTCCTGCTTCCTCAAGACACATGCCCCATTGCTCTCACAGACACCACCACTGGGCTCCAGTCCCTGAATCCAAAAGCCCACTTCCTGATCCTCCTGATGCCTAACCTCCCCTTTCCCTCCCTCATCATTCTTGGACTGTCTCCTAACGGGCCTCAGAAAGGATAAGGGGATAGAACTTTTGGGTCTAGACTATTGTCCCAACCTTCTTTTACTTTTCCATCTCTGTGCTCACTGTTGTGATTGCCTTTCCTCATTCCCACCATCTAAACCTTAGCCATCATTTATGGCTTTGTTCAAGTATCACCTCTGCCAGGAATATCTTCTTCATCCCACTATACTGAAGTAGCTTTCTTTCTTTTCCTTAAATCCTATAGCAGTACATTTTTTTTCCCTTCACTTGTGACATTTGTCGTCCTTTGTCTTATGTTACAGGTATGTGGGGGATCATTTTTCTTCCTATCTCCTGAACCCCATCAGGGCATTCCAGTTTGTGTCCCAGAGTTCATCACAGTGCCTGGTACTACATAGCAGGTGCTGGACAAAAGTCGCTGAATAAAACTGGAAACTGGAAGAATCCCCCACCCACATCCTGTCCTTAGTCCTGGCGGTTTGTTAGTACTCATCCTCCACTGACGGGGACGGCACTTCTCAGTCACGACAAGTGTTCAGTGACTTACTCCTTCAGGGTCTTTTTGGCTTTTTGTTGTCATGGAGCCTCTTGGATGGGTTCAGGTTCTAAAATCAAGAATCTGCTCTTCTTTCAGAGAAGAAAAGCCCAGGCTTTCATATTTGAGCACTAGAACCACAAATGAAAAGATTTTGGGGTCCTCTTCACCACTACCTCTCTGGGCTGGAGGCCCCTCACTCAGCTCTGTACATTGGGGTCAGTTCCCTTTTCCAGCTCCCCAGGATAGGTGGAAGTGGCCGTATCTACTTAAGGACAGCAAGGAGCATGTCTTCCTCCCTCACTCTGGCCTCACTGAAGGAAGCCAATGGTGAAGAGCCTGCCAAGGGAGCTGAGACCACCTTGTGTGGAACTTCTGAGCAAGCCAGAAGAAAGTGGCCATGAGAGGGGAGGTCTGGGAGTTGGCTGCCTTTTGGGGCTCATCTTAAACTCTGGTCACTGGAAATAGGCTGAGAGAAGGAGCTACCCATCTCAACCACATATTTTCAGCCTTCTCATTAAAAGCTCTAAATCTAAAAGGGTATGGGATTTCTCTGTGGAGTAATGCAAATGTGTGTGTGTGTGTGTGTGTGTGTGTGTGTGTGTGTGTGTGTGTGTATGGCTTTTTGAAAAGATTTTATTTTTTTCCTCATTTTTAAAAAGATTTTATTTTTTAATGTCTATTTTTGAGAGAGAGAGAGAGAGAGAGAGAGAGAAATGCAAGTTGGGGAGGGGCAGAGAGAGAAGGGAACAGAGGATCTGAAGCAGGATCCATGCTGACAGTCGAGAGCTTAATGCTGGGGTCAAACTCAAAAACTGTGAGATCATGACCTGAGCCGAAGTTGGATGCTTAACCAACTGAGCCACCCAAGTGTCTCAAGATTTCTTTTTATTATTTATTTATTTATTTTAATTTTTAATTTTTAAATGTTTTTTTAATTTATTTCTGAGAGACAGAGAGAGATAGCGTGAGCAGGGGTGGGTCAGAGAGAGAGGCAGATACAGAATCTGAAGCAGGCTGCAGGCTCTGAGCTAGCTGTCAGCACAGAGCCCGACACGGGGCTCGAACCCACGAGCTGTGAGATCATGACCTGAGACAAAGTTGGACATCCAACCGACTGAGCCACCCAGATGCCCCTATTTATTTATTTTTTAAATGTTTTATTTATTTTTGAGAAAGAGATAGAGACAGTGTGAGCAGGGGAGGGGCAGAAAGAGAGGGAGTCACAGAATCCAAAGACAGGCTCCAGGCTCTGAGCTAGCTGTCAGCACAGAGCCTAACGGGAGGCTCGAACCCACAACCATGAGATCACGACCTTAACTGAAGCTGGATGCTTAACCGGCTGAGCCACCCAGGTGCCCTCAAGATTTTATTTTTAAGTAATCTCAGTACCAGTGTGGAGCTAAAACTCACAGCCCCAAGATCAAGAGTCATATGTGCTACTCGAGCCAGCCAGTCACTCCAGTAATGAAAATGTTTTAAAATTGATCATGGTGCTGGCGAAGAAGCGGAGAAACGGGCACCCTCCTACACTGTTGGTGGGAATGTAAACCGGTGCAGCCCTTCTGGAAAACAGTGTGGAGATTCCTCAAAAAATTAACAGTAGAACTCCCTAGGACCCAGCAATACCACTGCTAGGAATTTACCCAAGGGATACAGTATTGCTGATGCATAGGTGCACATGTACCCTAATGTTCATAGCAGCACTCTCTACAATAGCTAAAACATGGAAAGAGCCTAAGTGTCCATCAACAGACGAATGGATCAAGATACAATGGAATACTACATGGCAATGAGAAAGAATGAAATCTGGCCATGTGTAGCAACATGGATGGAACTTGAGGGTGTTATGCTGAGCGAAGTAAGTCAGGCAGAGAAGGACAGATACCATATGTTTACACGTATGGGAGGATTAGGAGGAACTTAACGGAGGACCGTGGAGGAGAAGAAGGGGAAAAAAAGTGGGGGAGAGGGAGGGAGGCAAACCATGAGAGACTCTTGAATGTTGAGAACAAACTGAGGACTGATGGGTATGGGGGAGAGGGGAAGGGGGTGATGTGCATGGAGGAGGGCACTTGTGGGATGAGCACTGGGTGTTATATGGAAATCAACTTGACAATAAACTATTTAAAATTTAAAAAAAAATAAAACTGATCATGGTGAGGGATGCCTCACATATGTCCCCACATGGCTCAGAGAGGCAAGCTAGCTCTCAGCAGTCTCTTTTATAAGAGCAGTAATCCCACTGATGAGGGCACCACCCTTATGACATAATCCTCTCCCAAAGTTCCCACTTTCTAAAATCATCTCCTTGGCAGCCAGGATTTATGAATTCTGAGGAGACCCAGACCTTCAGCCTTTAGTAGTTTGTAAGTTATTGGGGTGCCTGGGTGGCTCAGTCGGTCAAGCAGTATGTGAATTATATCTCAATAAATCTGTTAAAAAAAAACACAGTAAAAACTACATACTTATTAGAATGGCTAAAACAACAATAACAATAACCATGTGATAACCCTACAGCTGTTTATGGCAGTATCAGTCATAAAAAATGGAAGCACCTTAAATATTCAAAAAGAGGGGTGCCTGGATGGCTCAGATGGTTAAGCATCCAACTTCAGCTCAGGTCATGATCTCACAGTTCATGAGTTCAAAACCCATGCTCATGCTCTCTCTCTCTCCCCCTCTCTCTCTCTCTAAAACAAACATTAATTTTTTTTTAATGTTCAAAAACAGGGAGGTGGTTAAATAGACCACAAAATAGTAAATACATTGACATTCAAACTAATCACTGTGAAGACTGTGAGTTAGGAGAAAGCGCTAATTATTTGAAAAGAAAGGGAAAGACCCTCCTTCTCTTCTTTACCCTTTATTTCTGGAATAGTTCAGTCCTCAAAGTGAGGCAGAACAAGTTAGACAATGTGCCTGTGGGAGTGTGGGGGAGTCCCAGAGGACTGGAGAAGGGTGTCAGAGCACAGGAGGAGTGAGGTAGGGCACAGAGTGAAGCATCAGAACCTGAGTGGAAGGTATCCATGAGGGGTGGCATTGAGATGGGAGGTTAGCTGCAAGGGGGAGTGATTAAATAAGGATAATAAGAGCCATATTTAAGGGGCGCCTGGGTGGCTTAGTCGGTTAAGCGTCCGACTTTCGCTTAGGTCATGTACTCGCGGTTCGTGGGTTCGAGCCCCGCGTCGGGCTCTGTGCTGACTGCCAGCTCAGAGCCTGGAGCCTGTTTCAGTCTGTGACTCCCTCTCTCTCTGACCCTCCCCTGCTCACGCTCTCTCTCTCTCTCTCCTAGAAATAAATAAAACATTTAAAAAAAAAAAAGAGCCATATTTAAGAGAAGAATCTTTGAGGGGCAACTGGGTGGCTCAGTTGGTTAAGTGAACAACTTTGCTCAAGTTATGATCTCATAACTTGAGTTCCGCGTGGGGCTCTCTGTTGTCAGTGCAGAGCCCTCTTCAGATTCTCTCTCCCTCTCTCTCTGCCCTCTCCCTGTGTGTGTGCACACTCTCTCTCTTTCTCTAAAATAAACAATAAAAAAAGAGGAGAGAGAGAAAGGCCTCGGAGAAGCTATCCCCTAGTAACAATGAGCATGTCAACTGTCTGGATCTCAGTTTTCAGATTTTTTTTTTTCCTTTTTTTTCCCCCCCTTGGCCTTCAGTTTCTAAATGCCATTTGCCACTAAAATAGACTAGGGCTCCTTAGAGAAATAGCTGATTCCAAGGTTGGGCGCAAGATGAACATGGAATGTCTTGTTATGCCAGAAAGTAAGCAAGTGCTCAAAGAATGATGGAGATATGTCAAAGGACATGAAAGCCAGTTTGAAAGGGCTCCTAGTGACCAAAATGGGGACAATCTGAGCATAAAAATTATAAATTATTTTAATGTGAAATATTTACATATTTCAAAGTACTTACTTAGAGATAAGTACTTAATTACAAAGGGGAAAAGAGCTTATTTTTTTAAGTGTATTTATTTATTTTGAGAGAGAGAGAGAGAGAGAGAGAGAGCATGAGCAGGGGAGGGGCAGAGAGAGAGGGAGACATAGAATCCCAAACAGGCTCTGTACTGGGCAGAGCTTGGTGAGATCATGACCTGAAGCAAGATCAAGAGTTGGACTCTAATCTACTGAGCTACCAGGTGTCCTAAAAAGAGTAATTTTAAAATAGAGAAAACTAGCTACAGTGGCTGAAGGGTGGCTTCCACAAAAATAAATCCATATTTGAATACCTAGAACCTGTGAATGTTACCTTGCATGGAAAAAGAGTACTCATAGATGTAACCAAGTTAAGAATTTGAGAATAAGGAGGTCATCTTCGATTTGGGAATAAGGAGGTCATCTTGGATTATCCAGACAGTCACTAGATTCAGTGACAAGTGTCCTTGTAAGAGACACATAAAGGAGAAGGTAATGTGAAGACAGAGGCAGAGACTAAAGTGATGTGGCCACAAGCCAAGGATTGCCCAACAGCCACAGGAAGCTGGAAGAAGCAAGGAAAAGATATTCCTTAGAGCTTTGGGAGGGAATATAGCACAACACTTTGATTTTGACTTCTAGACTCTAGAACTGGGAGAGAATAAATTTATGTTGTTTTCTTTTTAAGTTTATTTATTTATTTTAAGAGAGAGAGAGAGAGAGCAGGGGAGGGGCAGAGAGAGGGAATTCCAGGCAGGCTCTGTACTGAGCCCGACTTGGGGCTTGATCTCACTAACCATGAGATCATGACCTGAGCCGAAGCCAAGAGGTGGACGCTTAACCGACTGAGCCACCCAGATGCCCCAATTTCTGTTGTTTTAAGCCCCTAGTTTATGGTAATTTGTTAGGGTAGCCACAGGAAACTAGTATGCTGATAGATACCACCGTAAGCAAGTGATCAAATGAACATCCTGAGCAATGGAACAAATCAAAATCACGCATCAGTTGATAGGATGCAAAGAGAGGGACACAGACAAACCCAAATGAGGGACACGCCACAAAATGACTGTAACCTTCAAAAGTATCAAGGTTGAAAGTCAAAGAAAAACTGAGGAACTGTTCCAGATTGAAGGAGACTAAAGAGACATACAGTGAGTAATTCCAGACTGGAACCTTTTGCTATAAAGGACATTATTGGGGCAATTGCCAAAGTTTGAATAAGACCTGAGGATTAGGTGGCCAATATAAATTTCCCAATTTTGATGATTGTGATTATGTGGGAGACTGTCCTTGTGTAGGAAATACATACTCAAGTATTTGGGACTGATGGGGCAATTTACTCTCAAATGTTTAGGGGGGAGAAAAATTTCTTGTACTTCCAACTTTTCTGTACATTTGTGATCGCTTCAAAATAAAACATTTATTTATTTATTTATTTAAATGTTAATCTATTTTTGAAAGAGAGCATGTGCCCGAGCAGGGGGGGGGCTGAGAGCGAGATCGAGAGCAAGAGCGAGAGCGAGAGCGAGAGAGAGAGAGAGAGCGCTAAAGTGAGTGAGTGGGGAGGGGGCAGAGAGAGGCAGAGAAGAGGATCTGAAGTGGGCTCTGTTCTGACAGAAGAGAACCCCATATAGGGATCAAACTCACAAGCTATGAGATCATGACCTGAACCAAATTTGGATACTCAACCAACTGAGCCACCCAGGTACCTCTATTGTTTTTTAAGTAAGTTCCAGGCCCAACATGGGGCTTGAACTCATGACCCTGACATCAAGAGGCACATGCTCTACTGACTGAGCCAAACAAGCACTCTGAAACAAAATATTTAGGGGCACCTGGGTGGCTCAGTCAATTGGGCATCCTACTTTGGCTCAGGTCATGATCTCATGTGGTTTTGAGCCCCACATCAGGCTCTGCTCACAGCTCAGAGCCTGGAGCCTGCTTCAGATTCTCTCTCTCTCTCTCTCTCTCTCTCCCTGACCCTCCCCTGCTTGTACTCTCTCTCTCTCTCTCTCAAAAATAAACATTTAAAAAATTAAAAATAAAATATTTACTAAAAAATTGGGGCACCTGGGTAGCTCAGTTGGTTAAACATCTGACTTTGGCTCAAGTCATGATCTTGAGATTCATGAGTTTGGGCCCTGAGTTGGGTTCTCTGCTGACAGCTCACAGCCTGGAGCCTGCTTCTGTGTCTCCCTCTCTCTCTCTGCTCCTCCCCCACTCACCTTCTCTCTCTCTCTCTCTCTCTCTCTCAAAAATAAACATTATTAAAAAATATTTAAAAATTACAAAATAAGGGAGAGAAGGATACTAATCATATAAATGATTGCATATAGATGTGCATATCATCACTGTCTGGAATGCATAGGAGTAGAAGGAAATCCACAATATGATAAAATTCTATTTAGGTAGGATTGTGTGTAACATTTCCCTGTTCTTAAAGCTTTTGAGTTTAGTTCAGTAAATATATGCTGAAGACCTACTATACCTTAGGCATTGTGCCAGGTCCTAGGGATACTGAAAAGTGACAATGCTGGCCTTCACGTGCACAAGAGAGTGCCACAGGATGGATGCTAAAGACAGGGTGCTACTGGAACACAGGGAACATCTGACCCCAGGAGAGGGCAGAGCTAAGGAGGGAGAGGTTTGAAATGTAGACCTCTTGGGGCACCTAGGTGGCTCACTCAGTTCAGGTCATGATCTCACAGTTCATGAGTTTGAGCCTTGAGGCAGGCTCTGTGCTGACAGCTCAGAGCCTGGAGCCTGCTTTGGATTCTGTGTTTCCTTCTCTCTCTGCCCCTCACACGCTCATGCTCTCTCTCTTTCTCTCTCTCTCTAAGATAAACAAACATTAAAAAAATTTTTTTCTTAAAGATATGTAGTCCTCTTGTTTTTCTACTAAGAATAACAGTAAGGGGGCATCTGCCTGGCTCAGCTGTTTGAGCCGTTGAGCGTCTGACTCTTGATTTCACCTCAGGTCATGATCTCATGATTCGTGAGTTCGAGCCCTTCATGAGTTCGAGCCCTGCATTGGACTCTGCACTGACATTGCAGACACTGCTTGGGATTCTCTCTCTTTCTCTCTCTGCCCCTCCGCTGCTCTCTCTCTCAAAATAAATAAATAAACTTAAAAAAAAAATAACAATAGGGGCACCGGCCTGGCTCAGTCGGTGGAGCATGTGACTCTTGATCTCAGAGTTGTAGGTTCAAGCCCCACTTGGGTTGTAGAGATTACTTACAATAACAACAACAACAGAAGAATCACAGTGTTTGTAAGGCATCCCTGAAAGATGCTGGGAGTCCCGACGAGGGAGGAGAGTATGAAGCACTCAGAGTCTACAAAGCATGGGCGGCTGGCTGGCCTCTATCATGGAGGGACCTGATGGACCCCTCAGAGGAAAAGAGAGGGGTCACAGAGCCACTTTGTCATCACTGATGTTTGTATCAAGGCCCCGGAGGACACCATAGTGACTCTAGCTTGCTCCAGAGCCCCAAGGAGAGTGAGAGCCACTCAGCCTTACATCCTCATCTGGGCTGCCGGGCTGACCAGGGCCCCTGGAGCCAGTCCCAATCTGTTTCCTTCTATTCTTTGACAGGAAGCTGCTAGAGAGCCAGCCCCCACCCCCCACCCCGCCCCAGCACTCCCTCTCTCTTCTCCACTATGGACAGAGCCAGCGTGGAGTGGCTGTCTGTCCGCCACAGACCCAGCTGACATGGGGACGGTCAGAGCCACACAGCTGTGCTGGACGATCCTCAGCCTCCTCCTACTCCAAGGTAAGAGGCATTTGCCACTCAGTTTCAGCAGTTCCTCTCTGGCGGCAGGCAATCCTGGGCGCCTGTCCATCCTTCACAGTGTATGCCTCTCATGCTCTCCATCCAGGCCTGAGCCCAAGGGAAATTCCAGACTCTTCTCAGGAAGGGAGCCAGTTGAACTGGGGGGATGGGGTGGTCATTACCAGGCAAAGGTAAAGTAGATATGTGGCTAAATCTTTTTGTGGGAAAATTTCCAGGGTGAACTGGGGCCCCCATAGAGGCTGGCCTCCCGAAATGTGGGCATTGGCTGTCTTGGTATGAGACTGAGGCCAGAAAGTTCCTTCCAGGGTGTTCTAGCACAAAACTACGTGTACCTAGGGCTTTATAGATGATCCTTTTTCTTCTTTCACATGAGGAATAACAACCTGGGAATTCCAAATGTTGACTTTAAGCTCAAATCACAGCAAGAGGGACTCAGGATAGAGACAAAGAACTATTTGCCAGAGAGGATGTATACAACATCCTGGGCCGGGGGCTGGATAAGATGACCTCCGGAGGAGATGAATGGAAACACCTCTGAGACTGGATTCTGTGAGTTGATGAATGGTAAAGCAGCTCATAAGGGGTGCTCTAGTTAGGGAGCAGTTGCTGGGAACCATGACAAATCCAGGAGATTCTGACTCACAGGGCAGCAACTTCCCTTTGGTCATCCCTTCCCCACCCCCACCTCACTCTCCATGAGTCCTCTGTTGAAGACTAGCAGAAAAGAGTGCAAAGTGCTTGGATGGAGAGAGGATGGCCCTTTCTTGGGGGGCGGCGGGGAGAGGCGAGAGGGCCTGAGTTCTGATACTCTGTCTCCTGGAAAGGTCAGACCTTTCTCTAGAAGCCCATAGACTTGGGGTAAAACTCTGATTGCCCCCCACCCCAGGGGTGGGGGCAGAGTTGCACACTTGATCTGGGGCTGGGGCACTAGGCCATTGTAGAAAATGCAGAAATGGCAGAGGAGGAGTTTAAAAGGTGAGACTCATGAGGGAGCACTGTTCCAGGCAAATGGCAGGGCTGAGAATGCCCTGTGTTAAACTCTACATAAACCACACTTGCCTCCTGAGTCATCCCAAGATCACGGCATACTTACTGTCTCCTTAGATGAACCCTTTTGAGGATATTCAGGCCCACAAGGTGAGTTGACTTGGATCCACAGAGACTTGGAGGGTTGGAGGGTTGGAAAGAATGGGGCAACAATTTAAAAAAAGTCTACCATTTGAGTTTTCTTGTCCTAACAACCACTCATGAGGTATGAAAGTCATTTTCACTTTAAAGAAGAGAAGACTGAGGCCCAGGTCAGACAGTATGTGGTAGAGTCAGAACTTGAACTCAAACCTGCCAGACTCCAAAAGCTGTGATTTTCAACTATTAAATTATGCTGCCAAGGGAAACAGGGGAGGAGGTTGGTGGATGGGGAGGAAGAAGAGGCTAGAAGGTCATGAAGCAGGTAGGGATTAGGGAAGGGAGACAGGAAAATAAGAAATCTCTGTGGCCGGAGTTCTTCTGCCCAGCAGTCGGAGGTACCATGGCCTGTAGAAACAGATGTGTCTGAAGTCCCCTCTTGGACTCACACAGCAATCTACTGGTGATGGAAAGTTCTGGTCAGGGGACAGGGCCAGAAGACAGAGAACAGGCTAGTGGAACTTGGAGCTTGTGACTTTGGAACTCCTTCCAAGACACTAGTTTTGTTTTCAGCTACGTGGGAGGCAGTGCATGGTGTCCACCCACTAAAAGCTGACATCATAACCTTATAGAACTTAGATGGTACCTTAGACATGCTTGATCAGTAACTGATAGGTGTTTTCTGGATGTGCCTTGAAAGTGTTCTTCCAGGGTCATTTTCAGCTGGGAAGAGTTCTATCTAGCCTCAGGCACCTACAAGTTGTAATTTCCCTCTGACACCCCACTCAATGAGCAGGTGGGACTACCAGAGACCGGTGACCCTGGAAAAACACAGTCAGGATTTGGGCAAGCTTGGGCTTGGAAACGATTAATTCCATACCATCGAGTGATAGCCCCATGGAGGAAGGCAATGGCTAAGGAAAATAAACAGTCCAGCAAGCCTCCACAGGCTGTGGGGGCCCTGGCTCCCAGCTGCCTCTGTCTGCCCAGGCCCGGGCTTGGGGCTTCCCTGTGGCTGAGGGGCCTGGGAGCCCAAGGGCCAGGCCAGAGGCTATAGTCCCAGCAGCAGAGGGACGGGAACCCAGCTGGGCGGCTCCACTTCCCCACGTTGTTTTCCTTTCACATTGTTCATAGGTTTCAAGAATGATTTCACTGTGGAAAATGAGCAAACACAATCTGACCTTTCAGGTCCCATACACACAGGGGACACACATATGGGCACACAGGCCCAGAGGCATACACATGTACATAAAAAAAAAAAAGCCAACGAGGGCTTCTGACTGAGGCCTCCTGGTAACTAGCTTCTACCTGGGTTTGGCCAAAAACAGCCATCTCTGAAGTAGCCTCTACCAGTGAGAGTAAAATTGGCCGCTTATTCTAGAGATTCCCTGGCTCCTATCTATACCTGAGAACTGACTTGCTGTGTGGGCCCCTACCTCCAGGTGGAGGGGGTGGAGAGACAATCCAGATACCAACCCCAACCCCTAACCTCATTTTATTCACCCCATCTTTCCATCCCCTACCCTTGAGGCAGGATCAAGATGACAGTATGCACAGGGAAAATGGGTGGCTGAGTGGTAGTGTAGCAAAGAACATCAGCCTACAGAGCTGGAGTCCTAGGTCCTTATCTAGATGTAGCAGGTCACTGGCCCTTTGTCCTTGGACAAATCACTAGTTTGAAATAACCTTCGCCTGACCTCATGTCAGGTTGGTATAAAACCCACACAGGATTAAAGAGACAGAAAGGACTCTGGAACACTGAATCATGAGGTGGTGGTGATGGTGCTATTGAGACGTGGTTAGAGGAAGCCAGCACTGTGAGCTAGAGCCACATCCTTCAGCCCTCTGCTGAGTGTGTCTGTCTTCCAGCATGGGAGGCTTGGAAAGCCTGGATTCTTCTGTGGGCTCTGCACTGGGCAAGAGATTCATCAAGATAGTCAAAGTGTTTTTTGCTTTCTCTTGCAGGCCACCACTCCCAGCCTACTCCTAGCCTTCAGGGTAAGACCAAACACACAGGGCCTACTCTGGCATTTAGGCCTGGCAGCTAAGGAAGGGTGAGAGGAGCATAGATCTCAGGTGACGAGGGCTGGGGCCAGAGCTCTCAGGACATCCAAGGCTGAGCTCATCTCTGGATGTATTTCAGCATGGCCCAGTCACATGTGCCTTGAAAGAGGAGGGAAGTGAATGGCTGGGGTTTGGGGGTGGGACAAGGAGAAGGACTAGAAGACTCCAGCTACAAGAAGAGAGGGAGACAGAGCAATAGGAGGCAGCGACCCTCACCCTCAGATGATTTGTTTCAGGAGCCTTCAGCAGCCAAAGTCTGACCACAGAGCCACTTTCTTCCAATACAGGTGAGTAAGTGTGGCTGCAGAGGGGCCAGTCCCTTCCCTTTGCCTAACCCCCTCCAGTCCTTCAGACCTGCTTGGAACTCAAGGGTTCTTAAGTAGGTGAGGGAGTGTGGTGTCACTAAACCTACCCTCTTCCACCTCCCCTTGCTTCTGCCCTTGCAAGAGACAGCCCTTCCTCAGAGCTGAGCAGGTTGAGCCCTCTGGCAAGTGCTGAGACCCCAGGTACTCTGCTGCTCTGATCCAGATGCCCTCCAGGAAGGGCCCAGTGAGGAATCAGACCCGTGGATGAAGACAAGTAAACAGGACCTCATGCTGACAACCACAAAGCAGGGTGGGAAGGGCTGTGATGAGCAAAAGCAGAAGGTGCTATAAGAGGAGCACTTAGGTAGCTTAGTCGGTTAAGCATCCAACATCAGCTCAAGTCATGATCTCGCAGTTCATGGGTTTGAGCCCTGTGTTGGGCTCTGTGCTGACAGCTCAGAGCCTGGAACCTGCTTCAGATTTCTGTGTCTCCCTCTGTCTCTCCCCCTCCCCCACTCACAGTCTGTCTTTTTCACTCTTTCAAAAATAAATAAAATGTTAAAAAAAATTTTTTTAAAAGAAGAAGAAGGTGCTGCAAGAGCCCGGACAAATGTCAGCTCTTGGGAGCAAATCTTCAGATTTGAGAGCCAGGGATGACATGCTAGAGTTTCCTCAGAAGCTGAGGCCCAAGAGGGAGTTAACCAGAGGAAGATGTGAGGTCGAGGGTGCTAAGGTATATTCGAGGCAGTGGGAACTGTACAGGTAAAGGCCAAGATAGAAGAAAGGATGGCTCCTTCTGGAATTGAAAGTAGTAAAGAAAATGAGGATTTTGGACTAAAGAGGGTCCCCTGTGTACATGCTGGCCAAGGCCCTGAGCACCCCACGAAGGCTTCCTTATCTACAGCAGCTCCGGAGAAGGTCTCACAGGTCCTCGAGGCAGCCAATAAATCCGGGACACAGAACACGAGCACTGTGGATGGTCACTCCCATTTCCTGAATGGGTCCCAGACACAGACGTACACACCAGGACTTGGTGAGTACTTGGGGCTGGGGGTGAAAAGCACTGGGTCATGACTGGTTGGGGTCCTTCTCCCTTCTTCAGGGGGCCCAGGTTCTGCCCTTCGATGAGGCGTCTCTGGGCCAGGATGCACATCAGTGGCGGCCTGGTTTGGGAATGAGAGAGAGGTTTGGGGAAGTAGAGACAGAGCCTTGGGCCTGGTCACCATGAAGGTAAGAAGAGCCTGGACTTGGGACTTTCAAAGCCATGGAGGGGAAACGGATAGGTAGAACCCAAAATGATGGAAAGGGAGGCAGAAGAGGTTGGGCAAGGGCTACATGCTTTTTGGTGCACACAGGAGCCTGCAAAGAGCTGGGAGGGAGTGGACGCCTCCATTCTGGCCCTGCTGTTTCCTGGCACGGGCCCAGGTGTCCCAAGTAGTAGCAGTATGTCCTGTCCATGCTCTCAGTGAAGAGCACTCTGACCCTTTCTCTCACCCTAACCCTTGGCTCTGGGATTTTTTTTTACACTCACAAACTTACTTGGCAGTGAGGGTGTGGACGTATAGGAAGATTAGGAGGAACTTAACGGAGGACCATGGGGGAGAAGAAGGGGGGAAATGGTGGGGGAAAGGGAGAGAGGCAAACCATGAGAGACTCTTGAATGCCGAGAAACAAACTGAGAATTGATGGATGTGGGGAGGAGGGGGGAGATGGGCATGGAGGAGGGCACTTGTGGGGATGAGCACTGGGTGTTATATGGAAACCAATTTGACAATAAACTATTTGTAAAAAAAAAAAAAAAGAAAAAAAAGAAAATGGAAGAGCTATCGGACCTGTAGTACAACGAGTGGAAGATAGGGGGCGCCTGGCTGGCTCCATGGGTGGAGCTTCAGACTCTCGATCTCAAGGTTATGAGTTTAAACTCCACATGGGGTAGAGAGATTATTTAAAAATAAAACCTTTTAGAGGCGTCTGGGTGGCTCATTCAGTTGAGAGTCCGACTTCAGCTCAGGTCATGATCTCATGAGTTTGAGCCCTGCATTGGGCTCACTGCTGTCAGCGCGGAACCTGCTTCGGATCCTTGTCCCTCCCCCACCCCCCACCCCCGCCCTTCTCTGCCCCTCCCCCACTCGTGCGCAGGCTTGTGCGCCCTCTCTCTCTTTCAAAAATAAATAAAACAGTTAAAATAAAAATAAAATAATTTTAAAAAAGGAGTTGAAGAGGCGGAAGAGACAGGTGATCATACTACCTTTTAAGAGGGCCAGAAACGTGTGCCTTTTGCCCGGCTTCTTACATTAGTGCCTGGGGATAAACATACAGTGTGCTTTTCTCCTCCCACTTCAACCCTTGGCAAAACACAGATGGCTCTACCTTGCCCCTTCTGGCTCCCTGTCTCTGGACTATTAACAATGCCCCAAGGGGATGGTGGGAGGAGAATACCAGGGGAAGCCCGAAGTCCCTGGACCTAGTAACGAGCAACCAGCAGTGCAGTTGACCTGAACCCACATCACCCAGTTCTGACCTCCATCCTCACGAGAGCTGGTCTGAGTGGCAAGGAGGAAGTCGTTTTTGGAGGGCATGAGCTCTTTCTGCAGTTCTTTACCCAGGAAAGTGGGAGGGGAGCTAGCTCTCTCTCTCTAGTAGCACATGCCAATCGCTTCGCTGATGCACCCATCCCCACTCCATTTTAGACACCTCTCAAAATGTTCCTCCCACACCAACCACCGTCAGCCTGAGGACAAGGGAAGACTCGACCATCCTGCCCAGCCCCACATCAGAGACGGTGCTCACTGTGGCTGCATTTGGTAAGAGGGGGGAGAAGGTGGGGAGAGAGGCAGGAGACACCATCCCTGAACTGATGTGGACTCTGGGTTTGGAAACACAAGTTTTTAATCTCACCTATTTGTTCTAGGAGGGTCTGGCTGTGAAGAAGGCCCTGGTGGGAAGGAGCTTCGCTGGCCCTCCCTCCCATCAGCTCTTTGGGGCTCTGCTGAGTTCCACGTTCTTATGGGAGGCTGAGGCAGGGCTGGGGGGCTCACTCTGGCTGGGGGCAGCTGGATGAGAGCTCATTCATTAGGCAGAGAAGGGGAATTCACTTTGCTCTCAGAGTCTGCCTACACAGCACTTAGCCAGGAATGGGATCTGGACTCCTATCGCCCCTCTTTTGACCCCTCTTCTGCCTCCTTCACACCATCCTTCTTCCTGTTCAGGTGTTATCAGCTTCATTGTCATCCTGGTGGTTGTGGTGATCATCCTAGTGAGTGTGGTCAGTCTAAGGTTTAAGTGTCGGAAGAACAAGGAGTCAGAAGGTACATGCCCTGCTCAGGGCCCCTCCCCTTTCCCCCCTTTGCTGAGGGACCCAGAGCTACATTTTGGGATTGACACTGAGCCTGTAGTGGAGGAAAAGAATGGCACATGAGCACCACTGATGAAATGGGAGGGTAATCCACTTGGGTGGGCTTTAAGGGACAGGCTGGTTTTCTGGGTTACAGCATGTGACCCCGCCCAATCTGTGCCTTTGGATTTTTTACAGATCCCCAGAAACCTGGGAGTTCAGGGTTATCCGAAAGGTAAGACTGTCAGAGGTGAAAGGGAGGAATCATCCATCGGACGTCTCAGTCTGCCATTCTGAGAGAAAACTGACACGTCCTGCCTTCTTCATACACACACTCACAAGCGTGCACAGAATCTTGACAGCTTGTACTGAGGCCAGGGCTGGGGGTGGGCAGGAAAGGGGTGACCCTAAAATGAAACAATGAGGTAACAAGAAGTAAACTGGAACTCTTCAGCACATAAGCCATGTCTCTATAACCCATTAATGAAAAGTGTAGGCATTCAGATTCTAATAAACCCCTTTAAATAAGAAAACACTTAGGGAAGGTCTAGGTGGCTCAGTCGGTTAAGCATGCAACTTCGGCTCAGGTCATGATCTCACAGTTCATGGGTTCAGCCTGAGTTAGGCTCTCTGCTGACAGCTCAGAGCCTGGAGCCTGCTTTATTCTGTGTCTCCCTCTCTGTCTTTCTCTCTCTCTCTCTCTGTGCCCCTCCCCTGCTTGTGCTCTCTCCCTCAAAAGTAAATAAACATTTAAAAATAAATAAATAAGAAAACACTTATTTAAGGAGCCACTTACTGAACACCTTATATGTGCCAGGCACTATGGTGGATATTTTATAATATTATCTCAAATCCTTACAGCAATTCTTCAAGGAGGATATACTGCATTTTGTACATTTAAGAATATTGAGACTTGAAGAAGTTAAGTTGTAACTTGGTCAAGGTCATACAAGTTGCAAGTAGTAAAACTAAGATTTTAAGTTTACTTATTTATCTTGAGAGAGAGAGACAGAGAGGGAAAGAGAGAGCACAAACGGGAGGAGGAGTGAGAGAGGAAGAGAGAATCCCAAGCAGGCTCTGTGCTGTCAACAAGGAGCAGGATGCAGGGCTTGAACTCACAAAACTGTGAGATCATGACCTGAGCTGAAATCAAGAGTTGAATGCTTAAATGACTGAGCCTGAGCCACTCAGGTACGCCTAAAACTGAGATTTAAATACAAGTATTTTGGGCTTCAAAGCACACTCCCATGTCATTAGAATCCACCACCAAAATAGAGGTTTATAGAAACAACATTCAAAGTTCCAACTTTTGACCTCACAGTTCTTTGACCCCCACATAGACCTCCTGCTCCTCTGTTGACAACCCATGTTCTTTCCTACCCCTAGCTGCTCTACAGCTAATGGGGAGAAAGATAGCATCACCCTGATCTCCATGAAGAATATCAACATGAATAACAGCAAAGGATGCCCCACAGCAGAGAAGGTACATTTTTCCTTGTTCCTTCCTCCATTCTCCCTCCTTCTCTTACCTTCAGTCGCTAGTTCCTTAACCAGAAAGGAAATACTTTCAAAGACCCAGGCTCCTCTCTCTTCTTCCCTAGCCTGCCACTCCCAACAAGGTCCCCCTTTTTCATACTGTATTTATTTTGCAGGTTCTTTAGAAGCAATGTTGGGTCCCCATGTGTCCAAGGATGACGCAACTGCCCTGTGATCGTAACGAGGAAGGCGATGGGATTGGTAGAGGCTATGAATCACACATAAATTATTTTATTATTTCCCACTTCAAGATCTACAGGACACTAGCATTCCTCCAGATCTAGGAGCAAGCTACCAATAGGAGAGACTCCCATATGGGCAGCCATTCTAGAAACGTAGCTTGCTCCTCCCACCTGCTCACAGTCACAGGAAGGAGTCGTCTGTAGAGCAAGAGCAAGGAAAATGACAAAGTGGAGTGGCCCTTGCTATTTTGCATTAAAATTATTTTCTGGCTTGCAGTCTAATTTCTTTGAAGGTCTATGTTCTCATGTGTGTTTGTTAGCAGTGTTCTAGCAGCTTTGGGGCCTCTTTTCTTAGGCAAGGCATGTATCCAAGTTTTTGCTCCTATAAGGAGCTCTTTGAGAAACCTGGGAGGTTGAGAGAACATTTTGTTAGGTCTACCTCCATTTATCTGGATTATTATTATTACTATTATTTTTATTTTTATTTTGGGTAGACTCCATGCCCAATACGGGGCTCAAACTCACAACCCTGAGATTAAGAGTCACAGGTTTTACCCACTGAGCCAACCAGCCACACCCCACAGTTCATCTGGATTATTAAATAGGAATGAGGTGACTGACTAATCATTTCAATAGAGGGGAGAGAAAGGGAGCTGTAAACAATGACCAATCATCACCAGGAAAGTTTTGAACTGGAGGGTGAGACCATGAGAGGCACAATGCATTCTGACTCGGAAACTCCAGTGGTGAGAGCTGAATAATATGAGGGCAAATGTCCTCTGCCTACCCCAGGGTAGCCATGCCTCACTTCAGTCCTTAGCTGTGGGAATAACATGGGGGAGATTTGGAGCTGGGATAGACCTGTGACTTCCTGAGCCAAAACTCACCCACTTTATCCTATTATCTTTGTGTCCTAGAAATAAAATACAGGGTGACAAACACTGTAGTCTTTCAAAGGGAAAGGGAAGAGGAAGCAGTTCCTATTTTCTTAGAAATCTCTACCGTGCCTGGTTTGGAAATGAATCTTGGTTAGGGAAATTCAATGGAAGATTCATCTGTGTATGTCTGCACAGAGTGGTTAACTTTTTAAAAAAGTTTCTTATTTATTTTGAGAGAGAGAGAGGAAGAGAGCTTGTGCACGAGCAGGGGAGGCAAAGAGAAAGTAGGAGAAAGAGAATCTCAAGCAGGATCTGCTCAGCACACAGCCCGGTGTGGGGCTCAATTGTAAGATCACAACCTGAGTGGTTATCAAGACCCAGACACTTACCTGCTTACCTGACCGAGTCACCGATGTGCCTCTGAGTGGTTAACTTTCTAAGTATCTGCTAGCTGGCAATTCACAAAACGAAGACAACACAGATTACCCATTATGAAGCAACAATATGCTATTTTCTTATGGATATAGACTCTGCAAGGTGATATGAGAGAGAAAGCCTAGAAGAAAACATTTCACTCACCGTTTCATTGCAACGATTCAAGTGGACTGAAGAAATCTATTGGATTCTAAAATTTTTTAGGACAAGGCTTGAAATCTACTCACGTCTATAGCTCCTATTTGGCACACAGTGCCCACACACTGTGCCCAGCACATTGGAGGTCATGAAAACTGGCTCTTGAGTACAGGAAATCTAGGCTGGGCTGTGCAAACACACTTCCAACATGACTTGGGCACAATCAATTCCGCATCTCCCAGCCTGTTTTCTTACTTTTAAAGCAAGGTGGCTGGGCTACTTGGCCTTCACTATCTTTTCTCTTATTCCACAGTTCTATAAACTCTGGATGTAAGAAAAAATGAACACAATCTTTTGAGCAGAGATCCAGGTGAAAGCCAGAGACCAGTCCTATGCGACTCTGAGCAAGTCTTCTACATTCTCTGGACTTAGATTTCCCTGTGTGTTAAGGGAAGAACAATTCCTACCGGGCCCTTAGTAGCTACTTTGTAAGTAAAATGGAATAGTAAATGCGGAGATACGTGGGAAGTAAAAGCACTAGTTGGCAACTGCAGCAATGTGAAGTAACACCATCTTGGTCCCACTTCAAGATCAGGGCACTATTTTTCCAGCTGTTAGGAGCATCCACTGCCAAGGGCTCATAGCTGGATGATGACTGGTTGGTGTCGGTGGGTGGCATAAGGACATGAACTTCTTCCCTTAACTTTCCCCTCTGCTCTACCCTGCTTTCCTTACTCCTCACAGCTCTTCTTCCTAAGAGCAGCCACCAATACACCTTCAGCATGCAAATCTCAGAGTCTTAGAGTCTATTTCCAACCTATATCATCAATACTACAGGATTAAAAAAAATACTACGGCATTAAGAAAAATAGCTCAGATATATTTATTTAAGCCACACTGCAAAAAGGCCATGACTTCCTAGCCAGTTCCAGTACAAAAAAAACCTCCATCATTGGGATAGAACTCTCCAGATGACATAACAATGTCTAGAAGAACTGGGTTCTGTCAGAATTGTTACTGTGATTCTGGCTGCTGTGGCCACTTAGTTCAGCTGCTGATAAGCTGGACTAATTAGGTCAAGAACATGAGTTTCACTCTAGGTAACTCAGTTGATGTCTCCATTCTAAGGCCACAAACTTTCCCCTGACTCTGGACAATGTCCTGCAAATATGAGCAGTTAGTCTTAAGGTATTTATGTGTGGGGGTAGAGGAGGTGAGCTGGTATTGATATGAGATTGCATGGCTTTTACCCTGAAACAGACACTGCTGTATTACATTAGTCATATTTATTTCTGTTGCTAAATAGTTATCTTTTGAGAAGGTGTCAAGGATAAATCCACTTAATGCTGAATCCTGTTCTCTAGCAAACTATATTAGAGGGAGTTCTGAACGATCCTACTATTTATGCAAATACAAGACCCCACCTCTGATAGGAAATCTGAGGGCAGCCTTCTGCAACCCCTGCAGCTTCCCTTGATGTTTAGACAACAGGATGGTGGCCATTTACAAGACAGCTTCCTCCCTATTCTAACACAGGATTAGACAGTCTTAAAGCAGGAACAGGTGGTGGGGTGGGGTGGTTATTGTAGAGTGTCTTTCTTTTGCTTCTTCCCCCATCTTATGGGAAGGCAACTGACAAATCAACTCAGGCACACAGGCCCAGATGGACCGAGGGATCATTTACTCAGTAGCTTTCTTCCAGGACTAGATGGGGCAGCATCTCAATCATATAGGGCACAAGGCAAATCTCGGTATCACCAGCAAAAGTTCCCTGCAGTTCGACAAATATTTCCAAAAGTCAATAGAAAAAAAATTGATAGAAATCTGAGGCCAGCTCTAAGTAAAATGGTTTAGCAGATGAAGGAGTATTGCAGGCCTCTTGGCCTACTTCATGCACACAATCTTCCCAAGCCAGGCTACTGCTACTCAATTCTACTTGAATCTGTTGGAAAACATTGTGTGGCTCCGTTCAGCAGTCTCCCTCTAGATTTGTGGGTGTCCCTTATCACCTCTTTGAATTTCTGTCTATACCTACCTCCTCCTCCTTGAGAAGATCCCAATTTCTCTTCCTTTATTTCCTTCCAGTTGCTTCTTTGCTCTTCCTGCTGGTTACTTTCCCCAAGCACCACCATCCTGAACCTTCTGAGCCCATAGGTTCCTTCTTTATGGAACACAGAGGCTGAATTTGATAGTGGGAATTATTTTGTTGAGTGGTTGGTGTGCTTCAGCCAGAGCCGGCACAAAAGTGTTCTAAGTGTTGAGGTTTGGAGTTCTAAGTTAGTCCTAGTGCTACAGTCATAGAAAGATTCATCCAGAAGTGTTAACTGAGGTATAAATGAGCTAGCGGGTACATCTACATGGCAATATCTGAGAGGGTTGCCATGCTGAGCTATTTTTTACAGATCTAGGACTAAACGAGTTGTCTAGAAAAGAAGTGGGGAGTGAGGTTCCAGAGGATAATGAGAAAGGTTGCTGAGGTATCAGACACTTCCAAAAAGCTGCAGCTTTCCAAATCTTGTCCAGCATTCTTGATCCTGGACTCTACACCTAAGTATCCCCATAATTCTCAATCCAATTACTCCCTACAGTGCTCTAGCACCTCCACTCCCAACCAGATACCCCTAACTTCATAGTACTCTGACATCTCTCAGTACCTCCAGACCTTAGCCCTGTGCCCACAGGCTCCAAGGCATATCTACCTTCCCTTGTCCATATTTTAGAGCAGTCTGTTTAGTTTCTCAAAACCAAATAAATTTCCTTCTTACATTCAATCACCTAATGTATATCCCCGATCAGGTCCCTTGTCTGCAGAACACAAGTGGCTTACTTAGGACCCAGCCTTCTCTGAGCACACTGATGCTATCCCAGGGCCACAGCTGACTGCATGGAAGGCAGAGAACTCCATAGGACTGGAGGCTTTTATCTTTTCAGTTTGTGCCTCAGGCTGTTCATCTTCCTGTCCCACCCCAATTGCCTAAATAGCTGCTGCTTGAAATCACAGTTGGCATACTGATTGGGTCTTCCTGGTAAGATCTCAATGACTTCTAAGTAAAATTTTGTTTGTGGATGTATATGATCATATTTCACTTTCGAAACCTGATCTTTAGCCATCCCAACTCAGCCACAGGCATGATGAGTCTGTGAGGACACTGAGAATTGCTTTTATTCTTTGCTAGTCCCCATGCAGACCTGAGAGGGAAAATATAGAAATATTTCACTTCCCTTTTACTGATTTCCTAGTAAAAATTCAAAAAAGAAAGGAATGGCCAAGGAAATGACTCGGGAGGAACAGAGGAGAAAAGTCTCAGGGGTGCCTTGGAGTAGGATGGATATTTGAAGGAAAAGGAACAGCAAAGATAGGGGCTTTAATGCTGGTTCCAATGCCAGCCCATTTCTTCTTTCTCTACCGCTGCCCCTAGAGGTCCTGCTAATGATGCTGTGCTAGACTGGCTGGACGAAAAGGGGAGGGGGGGCGTATCCAGACTGCCCTCTACATAAATCTACCTCACGTTTCTATTTTCTTGGCTCTTAAATTCTCAGGATTGGATTTGCATCCCCAAAACCTGTCTCTCAACCTCCAGGACCTAATATATTTTGCAGAGAACAGGCATTAGCATATATTTTAAAAAGACATCCCTGCTCTGAGATGAATAGTCACACTATCACCCTCTAGACTAGTTTGCAGAATCTTTCCCAGGCAGGATCTCATCGCGCCTCCTTGAATGTGCCCAGTGTTAGGCGAAGCCGAAGCCACTGCCCCCACTCTACAGATGAGGCAAAGTGTGGTACGAGTAGCCCATCAGCCAAGCAGCAGCAACAAACCACCACAAACCTCGCTTCGAAGGATCGAGCCCCTTGCACAGCTACAACTCTGCTGGCCTCTCCCCCAGAGCCTGCTGGGAGTTGTAGTCCAATGTGCCAGAGCTTCTGTGAGTTGGACTACAATGACCAGCATGCCCCGCGCTTCTTGCCCTGTCCCTTTCAGCCTCGGGCGCCGGGGAGGCTCCGCGGACCTGCTGATTCGGGACCGATATGGCTGCGACTTTGGGCAGCGGGGAGCGCTGGACGGAAGGTATCAGGTCCTTGCCGGAGGGTGGGACAAAACAAAGTTCGGAAGAGGGATGAGGTTCCTTAAGATGCCTATGGGCTAAGTTCCTGGGCCTGAGGTGTGGGATGGAGGCCTATGATAAGATGCTGAGCCTGAGCAGGGTTCCAAATAAGGTGGGGAACCGCCCAGGGCAACGGCTGGGATCTGGAAATCAGGAGCCGAGCGCTGGCTCAAGCAAAGAAACCGGCCCTAGAGTCACCCGAGATGACATTTTGCCTCCAGCCCCCAGCCCCGCCTCCGCTAGTGCCCAAACGAGAGCCTGCGGTGGTCGGGCCCCATCGGTGTTTGGGTGTCCAGAAGTCAGCAGAGTGATGAAGAACCCCTCCGCCTAACTTGCATTCCTAGCCCTTATCCTCGCTGCCAAACTAGGCCGCCTGACTCCCTCTCTGTTAGGTACTGACCCTGCAGCCCGCATCAGGACCGATAGGCTGGTCTTTTCCATCCTGCAGTCAAGCAAAGATATTGACTTAATATCTATTATGTGCCCTGCATTATGCTGATTGTGCAGCAGGGATTTGACAGATTTGGGCCCCTGAGATCACAGAACACTCAGTCCATTGAGGGAGTTTGACAGGTAAACAGACAATTACAAAACAGAGCCACTAAGTCCTGGGCTACACAGCAAGATTGTAGGTTTGAGAAGCACACTTGACAGCTTGGGTGTCAGTGGAGGCCTTATGGAGAAAGTGTTATATATGATGACATGAAGGATGTGTTGGAGTTAGGCTGACTTAGAGGTAGAATGTTGCAGGCAGATGTGCAAAGGCACAGAGAAAAGAGAAAGCATTGCTTATCTGAAAGGTGTTTGATGGGCTAGAGCATAGACTGTAAAGGAGCAAGCATGTTGTGAGGGAGGAGATTGGAGAGGCAGGCTGGGCCTATGATAAGAAATTTGGAGGAGAAGCAGTGGGTAGTCACTAAGGGATTTTTCAGCAGGAGAGATGTTTGAACGCCTTTCCCAGATCTGCCTTCTTTGACTGGATTACTGTGGCCTTTTTTATATTCTCCAGGTGTTATGATTAATTGAATCTTTTTCCTTCAAACTATAACCTCTTTGTGGTCAGAAGTAGGTCTTGTCTGTACATCTCCTTGATCTATCTCACCAAGTGTCTTGTTCTATAGATGTTAGTTTAAAAGAACTAAGGGGGGCCTGGCTGGCTCAGCCAGAGGAATGTGTGACTTTTTTTTTTTTTAATGTTTATTTATTTTAGAGAGAGGGAGAGAGACAAAGTGTGAGCAGGTGAGGGGCAGAAAAAGAGGGAGACACAGAATCCAAAGCAGGCTCCAGGCTCTGAGCTGTCAGCACAGAGCCCTATGCAGGACTGAAACTCATGAACTGTGAGATGATGACCTGAGCCAAGGTCAGACACTTAACCGACTGAGCCACCCAGGTGCACCTGTGTGTGACTGTTGATCTCAGGTTCTGAGTTCGAGCCCCACATGGGCTGTAGAGATTACTTAAATAAATAAAAACTAAAAAAATAAAAATAAAGGACTGAACTCACCCTACTTTAAATCTTACTGGTAGGAGTTACTGCAACAACAAAAAACTATTTTCTGACCATGGATCACAGAAAAATAGGCTTCCTCCTGCACTGCACTTAAGGCAGAGTATTGGGCAGATACCTCCTGAAAAGTAAGGTATTGAGCACACACCACTTATGCCCCTTTTCTGGCTCAGATTCAAAATATTTGCTGAATATTTGCCATGGACGTTATTATGTTTCATGTTTCTGGCATTGTAAGTTTTTCATGGTTGCTTTCATATTTACTATATTGTTTCCTCAAGGAAGATATTTTATATGGATGCTTAAAAGTCCCCATGATTCAGAGGTTTGGCCCTCACATTCATGCCTACAGGCAGCCTCTCTGATAATTAGGGCAGGTAGCAAAGTTAATTGCAGATCAGAATGACGCCTAATGAATGGGCTATGTCTTTGCAGCTTACATTGATGCAGTTAGAAGAAACAAATACCCAGAAGATAGACCTCCTGAAAGTCATGATCCCTGTGGTTGCTGTAACTGCATGAAAGTGCAAAAGGAAAAGAAGTCTGAGAATGAGTGGAATCAAACCCGTCAGGGTGAGGGAAATGCCACTTACACTGAAGAGCAGCTTCTTGGGGTACAAAGGTGAGTCTGTGGTGGGACTAAATGAGTGATTTTAATGTAGAGTTCCTAGCAAAATGTGTTATCTAACTATTTCTTCTCAATTATGCATGAAGCATTCTCCAGGACAGATCAGATGTTGGGCTACAAAGCAAGTGACAATAAAAGGATTAAAATCATACACCGTACTCTGAAATCGACAACAGAAGCAAATTTAGGAAATTCGCAAATATGTGAAAATTAAACAGTATGTTCCTAAATAACAAATAGGTCACAAAAGAAATCATAAGCAAAATTAGAAAATACTTTGAGATGAATGAAAATACAACATACCAAATTGTATAGGATATGGCTAGAGCAATACTTAAAAGGACATTTATACATATATATATTTAAAATCTTAGATCAAGAAGCTAATCTTCCACCCTAACAAACTAGAAAAAGAGTAAAAAGATAAACTAAATCCAACCAAGCAGCATGAAGAAAATAAAACAGTGGAAATAAATGAAATAGAGGTTAGAACAACAACAGAAAATCAATAGAACCAAAAGTTGTTTTTTTTTTTTAATGTTTATTTATTTTGAGAGAAAAAGAGTGAGTGGCAGGAGGGACAGAGGGAGAGGAGGGAGAAAATCCCAAGCAGGTTCCCTGCTGACAGCACAGAGCCCAACTGGGGGATTGATCCCATGAACCCTGAGACCATGACCTGAGCTGAAACCAAGAGTTGGATGCCCAAGTGGCTGAATCACTCAGGTGCCCCTGAAAGTTATTTTTTTTTTTTACAACATCAACAAAATTGACAAACCTTTAGCTAGGCTAACCAAGAAAAATAACTCAAATAACTAAAATCAGAAATAAAAGAGGAGACATCACTACCAGTCTTACAACAGTAATAAAGATTTTAAAAGAATGCTATGAACAATTGTACGCCAACAAATTAGATAACCTGGATGAAACAGACAAATTTGTAGAAAGGTACAAACTACTGAACTGATTCAAGAAGAAAAAGAAGGTAGGGCACCTGGCTGGCTCAGTTCTTAAGCATCACCCTTCAGCTCAGGTCATGATCTCACTGTTCATGAGTTCGATGCCTATATCATGTGAGCTCAAGCCCCACTTGGGTGAACAAAAGCCCCACCTCGGGTGAGCCCTGCTTCTCTCTCTTTCTCTCTCTCTATGTCCCTGGCTCATTTGCACCCTCTCTCTCTCTCTTAAAAAAAAAAGAAGAAAAAGAGTGATGTCTGGGTGGCTCAGTTGGTTCTGCATGCTCTCTCTCAAAAAATAAACATTAAAAAAGAAAAAAATTCATATGCATCTACCACAAATACAAAGACTGAACATCAAGATATTTCCCATGGGGTGCCTGGGTTGCTCAGTCGATTAAGCATCCAACTTCAGCTCAGGTCATGATCTCACAGTCCATGAGTTTGAGCCCCATTTGGGCTCTGCACTGGCAGCACGGAGCCTGCTTGGGATTCTTTCTCTCTCTCCTTGTCTCTCTGCCCCTCCCCTACTCACGCTGTCTCTGTCTCTCTGAAAATAAATAAATTTTTTTTTCCCACGAAGAAAAACCTAGGTCCAGAAGCCTTCACTGGTGAATTCTTCCAAATGTTTGAAGAAGAATTAATTGATCCTTCATAAACTATTACAAAAAATCCAAAGAGAGAGGAATAGATCCCAACTCATTCTAGCGGGCCAGTATTAGCCTATAACTAAAAACAGACAATGATATCATAAAAAAACTAAACTACCAATCAGTATCCCTTATGGGTATAGGTTCTAGCAACATATAAAAACGTATAAAACATATAAAGAGAATTATATACCTTCATCAAATGGTATTTATCCCAGGAGGTTGTTAATACATGAAAATCAGTGTGATATACCATATTAATAGGATAAAGGACAAAAGCCACACGATTATAGGTGCAGAAAAAGCACTTGACAAAATTGAACACTTTTTTTTTTTTCTGAACACTCTTTCATGATAACAGCACTTAACACTATAGGAATAGAAGTTTCTCAGGTGATAAAGACCATCTACAAAAACCCACAGCTAACATCATCATACTTAATGGGGAACAATTGCATGCTCTCCAAGATCAAGAAAAAGACAAGTATGTTCACTCTAGTCACTTCTATTCAACACTGTAGTAGAGGTTAGAGCCAAGGCACTTAGGCAAGAAAAATAAATATAGAAATCATCCATGCAGACTGGAAAGAAATAAAACTGTATTCACAGATGAATGATATAGTATAGAAAATCCTAAGGGAACATGCACACACTCTTAGAACTAATCACTGAGTTCAACAAAGTTGCAAAATATAAGACCAGTATACAAAAAATCATTGTTTTTCTATACCCTACAATGAACCATCCAAAAATCAAAAACAATTTCCTTTATAACACCATCAAAAAAGTATAAAATGCTTATGAATAAATTTAATGAGAGAAGTGTAAGATGTACATTGAAAACTACAAAACTTCATTTAAGGAAATTAAAGATCTAAATAAATGGGAAGATAGTCTGTGTTCATGGATTGTAAGGCTTAACGTTGGAAATATGGTAACGCTACTCAAATAGATCAATAGATTCAACATATCCCTATCAAATTCATCACTGCCTTTTTTTTTACAAAAGTTGACACGCTTATCCTAAAATTCATATGGTAATGCAAGGGACCCAAAATAGCCAAAACAGTCTTGAAAAAGAAAGTTGGAGGACTCACATTTCCCAATTCAAAAACTTATTTCAAAGCTATAGTAATGAACATAGTGTGGACTAGCATAGGAAGACATGTAGATCAATTGAATAGACTTGAGAGTCTTGAATAAGCCTTTATATTTAAGGGTCAATTGATTTTTTTTGACAAGAATGCCAAGGCAGGGGCACCTGACTTGCTCAGTCAGTAGAGCATGCAACTCTTGATCTCAGGGTCCTGATTTTGAGCCCCACTTTGGGCATAGAGATTACTTAAAAAAAAAAAAAAGAAGCCAGGGCAATTTAATAGGGAAAAGAATTGTCTTTAATAAATGTATTGAGATGCCTGGGTGGCTCTGATGCCTCCTGAAGAGTCTGACTCCTGATTTCAGCTCAGATTGTGGTCTCACTCACAGTTGTCAAGTCCCAGCCTCTCCCCAGGCTTCCTGGGATTCTCTCTCTACCCTTCCCCCACTCCCTCCGGAGCACTCTCTCCCTCCCTCTCTATACTCCTCCCTCCCTCACACATCTGCTCTCAATAAACATAAAAAAAAAAAAAGAGAGAGAGAGAGATAAATAGCCCAAATGAAAAATGGACAAAGGATCTAAATAGGCATTCCTGCAAAGAATATATACAAATGGTTCTAAAAAAAAAAGAAAAGATATACAAATGGCCAATAAGCACGGGAAAAGTTACTCAGTATTATTAGTCATTAGGGAAATATAAACCAAATCAATTATGAGATATCACACCACCACACATCCATTAGGATGGCAATAATCAAAAAGATGGACAATAGCAAGTGTTGATAGGAATGTGGAGAAATTGGAACCCTTGTATATTGCCTGTAGGAATGTAAAATTGTGCAGTCCGTTTAGAAAATAGAATGCTAGCTCCTCAGAAAGTTAAACATAGCACATGACCTAGCAATCCACTTCCAGGTATGTACCAAGAGAACTCAAAACATACTTCCACATAAAACTTACACATGAATGTTCATACAACATTATTCATAATGTCCCCAGATGGAAACAACCTGCATGTCCATTAACTGATGAATGGATGACAAAAGTGGAAATATCCATACAATGAATAATTTTTGGTAATAAATGGAATGAAGTACTGATACATGCTACAACATGAATGAACCTTGAACATTATGCTAGTCAGAGAAGCCAGACATAAAAGTCCCCGTACTTTAAAATTCCTCTTATATGAAGTGTCCAGAATGGCAAATTTATAGAGACAGTGGTTGCTAGAAGTTGGGAAGTAGAATGAGGCCTGACTGCTAATGAGTATGAGGTTTCTTTTGGGGTAATGAAAATTTCTGGAATTAGATAGTGGTGATGGGTGCGTAACTCCATGAGTATATTTTAAAAATATCAATAAACTGTATATTTTAAAAGAACGAACTTTGTGCTACATGAATTATACCTCAATAAAGCTGTTTTTAAACAAATAAAAATTTATACCAAAGAGAGTTAAGAGGCAGAGGAGTATCTGCCACAGAAGCAGGGGTTGGAAACTGGGCTGGGAATCCAAAGGATCCCCATGGACAGCTTTTAGGGAAGGACCATGACTGACACTCCAGACCCTGCTTTAGAGTCCAGCCTGGGATACTGACTTACTCTGTGTTCTTCATCAAGGCTCTGGGCCCCTCTCTGCCTAACTGGACTGTGTAGTTGCAAAAGACTGGAGACATTCTAGGTGCCCATCGTTAGGGGATATATATAATCCATAAAATACAATAACATGCAGCTTTTGAAAAGAATGACATTAGACGTATAATAGCCAATATTTATGTAGTATCACATGCTATCAAGCACTTTGATGAATACTTCATTTAAATCATAACAGCTTGTGATATATACTTGAAAATTCAGAAAATAACACCAAGGCACAGAGGTTAAATACACAGCAAGATTAGATCCCAACTAAGGCATTCTGACTGCAGAGTTCATGGTCTAGTACATTTCTCTAAGTGTGGCTTAGGAACCCCAAAACGCTCAGGGGGTCTGCAGGTTTACAACTTTTGTAATAATACAAACACATTATTTGCATTTTTCACTCTCATTCTCTCGTGACTACTGTGGAATTTTTGAGAGGCTATCTGATATGTAGTTATATCATCACTCTTTTAAAATTTCTTGTTTTCATTTATAATATGGTAACTACTGAGAGATATAACTCATATAAACAAAAGCTCTTCAGGGAGACTTCAGTAATTTTTAGAAGTATAAATAACTTCAGAGAACAGGGTCCCTGGGTGGTATGTGACTTTTGATTTTGGCTCAGGTCATGGAGTTCAAGTCCACACTGACAGTGCAGAGCCTGCTTGGGATTCTCTCACTCCCTTTCTCTTTCCCCTCCCCCACTCATGCTTTCTTTCTCTTTCAAAATAAATAAATAAACTTAAAAAACAAAGAAAACTTCAGAGATCAAAAAGCCCAAGACACTATGTGCCTTGGTGGCTAGGTCAGTTAAGTGTCTGACTTCATCACAGGTCATGATCTCACAGTTCATGAGTTTGAGCTCCAGGTCAGGCTTTACACTGACAGCTAGAAGCCTGAAGCCTGCTTCAGATTCTGTCTCCTTCTCTCTCTGCCCCTCCCCAACTCATGCTCTGTCACTTTCTCTCAAAAATAAATAAACATAAAAAAGAAAAAAAAAAGGTCCAGGACTGCCACTCTAGTCTACATTATTATCCTGTACTCATCTCTGTATGTAACAATTCAATCTCTAAGATAAACTGTTGGTTTTTAAATTTTTTTAGTGTTTATTTATTTAGAGTGAGAGAGCATATGAGAAAGGGGCAGAGAGAAAAGGAGAGAGAGAATTGCAAGCAAGCTCCATGCTATCAGTGTGAAGCCAGATAACCCAGGGCTCAATTGACCCAGGGCTTGATCTCAGGAACTGTGAAATCATGACCCAAGCTGAAATTAAGAGTCGGTAGCTTAACCGACTGAGCCACCCAAGTACTCCAAACTGTTGGTTTAAAAAAAAAAAAAAACAAAGATGTGTAAAAGAAATTACAATGTGCTTCTATTTAGGTTTAGAAAAATAGGGGGGCCTGGGTGGCTCAGTCGGTTAAGCGTCCGACTTCAGTTCAGGTCATGATCTCACAGTTCGTGGGTTTGAGCCCCGCGTCGGGCTCTGTGCTGACAGCTCAGAGCCTGGAGCCTGCTTCAGATTCTGTATCTCCCTCTCTCTCTGACCCTCCCCTGCTCACGCTGCCTCTCTCTCTCTCTCTCTCTCTC